TGCTTGTCTTGGGCCACACGAGGGGGAAGCTTTCCCTGCGATGGCTCTGGGTCTTCCTCCAAGCTCTCCGGTAATTCAGGCTTGGAGAATGTGGCTGAGCAGCTCAAGTGTGCGTCAGTGCGCGTTTGCTCGCTCTGAATTGCGTCTCCGCTCCTGTTCCCTCTTTGTCATCTTTTGTTGGGATGCTTTTTCCAACCTCTCCATCTGCCCTGGGGCAGGTGAATGTGGAGGTTGACCTTTTGTCCGCAGCAGGAAGGGGATGAAGCCGCTGATGCACGGAGCCGGCTGCGCTCGCATCCGTCCGGAATGGTCCGGCCGCATCCCTCCGGATGGGGGGTACCTGGTGGCTGGTGCTGCCCTGCCCTGCAAACCTGGAGGCTCAGATGGAGCCGTCTCCATCAGGGAGCAGCAGCCACCCTCCTGAGCAGTCACCCCGGCGTGGCAGGCTGGGGCACGCTGCAGGCAGGACGCTGTGTTAGCCGTGCAGAGCTCCTCCTCCGGACACATCACCTTTCCTCTCTGGCTTCCCCAGGCAAACCAAACGTGAGGATGAGGCTTTTGCCTGCTCTGTTGGGGCTTAAAGCTCTTCATGCAGGGCCTGTCTGTGGCTCCGCGTGCGTGGGCAAGAGCAGAAGTGATCCCAGCTTAGGAAAGTCCCATTGCTTCTGTCTGAGCACTGCTGGATGTAAGCAGTGGGGATGGGTTCATGTAAAGGTTTATATAAAAGAGCCATGACCGTGTGGGGGAGGTTTCCTGAGCTGCACGTTTAATTGTTCCTGTGCTGTGATTGAGCCATGAGTTCCCCTGTGTTTGGTAACAGAATTCCTCTTCTGGGCTTTGAAACTCGTGCCTTTACTTCTGTAGCTCCTAGCAGGGAGAGTGGAACGGAGCTTTGCTGTGTTGTGCTGCTGGAGCAGCTTGGGGGTGATCACCCAAATGTGCTGGCATTAAAGGCAGAAGACAGACCCGTGGGGGCTGATCAGCCTGCTCCAGCGCTGTGCCTCATGCAGGGAGCGATGGGGCTTTGCCTCCCAGTGCTGCGTGGTGGGAACAGCGTGTGCAGAGCATCCAGCCCCGGCTCTGTGAGCGCGTTAAGCAGCTGACACCAGTTGGCAACGGGTTCGCATGGAAAGATCAGGAGAGGCAAATCCTTTGAGGAGTGAAATCCTTTTGGTTTATTAGGAAACAGCCTCTGCTACCCGGGTCAGGGGATCCTGGACCTCATGTGCGCAATGGAGGCAGGGGAGCCGCTGCTTTGCTGGTGACACAGGGGGATGGCAGCCTGTCTGTCTTCACTGTGGGTTTATTTTTACTGCAACTTAAGAAGAGTCCATTTGAACCCCTGTGGTGGCCGATGGGGAGCTCCTCGGGGCGGCAGGGTCCTGCTGGAGGGGTGCTTGCTGCCCAGGCCAGGCAGTGCTGCCTGTGCCGCTCTGCTGGGAGCCGAGGTGCGATCAGAATACACAGGGCAATAAAAATAGCCCTGCCTGCAGCAGCAGCTGGAGCGCGAAGCGGGGCAGCCCTGCAGGGTGAGCGGCTCGGCGTGCCGGTCTGTGCCTCGTCCTCAGCGGTCCTGGCAGGCTCCCATGGGGGCTGAGTTTTCCCTTGCAGGCTCTCGGGTAAGGGCTGTCTTGGCAAGCTGAGCGAGCGCAGTGTGTTCTCACAGCCCCACTGGGGCCGTGGTGGCATCCAGGGCGAGGGGCAGCTCGCCTGGGACCTCCTGCGCTGCCAGTGGAGGAGGGAGCTTCCTTTGGAGCCCTGATTCATGGCACATCATGCCAGGAGGAGGCGGTGAGACTGAATCAGTGCTGCCTGAGGACACATGTGAGTGTGGGAGGCTCCAGCTCCCTTGTTTCCTCCGGCGTTTTCCTTCCTTCCTTCCTTCCCGGGCGCCCACCCACCTTCCCTGTGCTTGGTGTGAGGTGATGGAGGGGGAATTCAGGTCAACGTGCGACTGAGTGAATGGGGCAAACCCCCCCTGGCCCTTCCGTGGCGTGCTGGGGTTTGGGTTTCGGGGGGGTGCTGTCCCCCTGCAGACACCCCTGAGCCATTTCATCCTCAGGAGCAGCTTCTTCCAGGGTCTGCCTTTCAGAGGTGCTGAAAAAAGCTGCTGCAGGGGTTCTGGAAGGTCCCAAGCATTCAAGGCCAGGCTGGATGAGGTTCTTGTGCCCCGTCGTGAAGACACTTATGCACCCTTTCCCATTGGAAATAATGAGGAGTCTGATCTCCAGGAAGACCTTTGGAAGGGGAGCAGGAGAGAAGAGGTGGAAAAGCTGAGCTGGGAGCAGCAGTCAGGGGTGTCCATCCGCTGGCATCACCCCTCTCTGAAGGGTTAACTGTGGTTGCAGAACCACGGAAGCTGGTGGGAGGGGACAGTGTCCCCAGGCTGGTGCCCTCAGCGGGAGTGCAGTGGGGGCAGTTCACCCTTGTTGAACCTCAGGGAAACAAGAGGTGTTTTTCCCATCCCAGCCTCCTTGTTGCAAGCCAAGAAATACAGATCTTGGGCTGCTCTGGCTACTGGAGCTAAATCGGGGACGTGGGCAGCATTGCTGCACACCCCCAAGTACCTTCCTATGGCCAGAGCAATGCCTGTCACATCAGGGTGTCACCCACCGGGGGTTTCACTGCTACAGAGGAGAAACTGGTGAGGACCTGTTGGGATTGCTGCCTGGACCAGGACCGGACAGCGTGTTCTCTTTGTGCTCTTTACATCCCTGGCTACCTGGGGCACACAGGGGCAGGATGGAGGTTGTGTGTGTGTGTGTGTGTGTGCAGTGGGTGATGCCAGGCCTGTGGGTTGCTTCTAGCATGGTTTGAGCATCACCACATCCCTCCTGCAGCGGTAATGGCCTTCCCCATGCAGCCTCATCCGCTCCCACCTGCCATGGGAACATTTCCTAAATAGAGCAAATCACTGCCTTAATAAGGTTTAATTTGCCCCTCTGGAAGCTGGAGAAGCAGCTTCTGCATCCCGGGAGCGGAGGGAGCCTGGCACTGGCTGTTTGCTCACCTGCGAGTACAAAAGCAGACGTCAGAGCTGTGCTGGTGCAGGTAATAGAGGCTGCTGCCTCCCGCTTCATCAGAAACACAGTGCAGCTCCTTTCAAAGCCTCTGATTGACCTCAGACAGTTGGAAGCACGGATTTCTGCAGCTCTCCTGCTTGTCCTGCACGGAACGATGTGAATGCTGCTTCCTGCCGCCCCGTTTTCCCAGTGTGTAATCACAAATGGGTTTTTCTCTCCAGCTTCCTGGCTCCCCAGGCCAGGCTCTTGGGAGCAGAGCTGCAAATAACCAAGCTGTTCTCCAGACCCCTTCCCTGCTGATGTGGCTGCTGGGGGGGGGGCTGACCCTGTGCTCGCTTATGGCTTTGGCTCTGGTAGGACCTGGTTCTTAGGATGATTTAAGCAATAGAGGAGCAAGGAGGGACTGTCCAGCCTCCTGCCCTGGCTTCCTTTTGCCTTGGTGCAAAAGGGGGCTCGGCCTCTTTGGTCTTCCCCAGGCTTCCAGATGGTTTGGTGCCAGAGCTCACCTCACACCCTATTGACTGGTGTGAGCTTCCTCCACCTTGGAAGCAGGAGAGGTGTGAACCAAACCCAGGTAACGGGGTTACAGGAGGGTGGCTGAATGTGGATGCTGTTGCTTCTTTTCCCTGTGGCAAAAGGCAAATGCTGTTGCAGGCAGGGATGCAAATCCCTGCTACTCTGCCAGGGCTCACGTGAGCGCTGATGGTTTCGTGTGTAACCAGGCACTGAGTGGGGGGCTGCTGGGGCTGCAGTGAGCATGAACCCGTGTTCCCTGGGGGCCAGGGGTCTCAGCTCTGCTCTGGAGCCAGGCTGAGAGCTGGGCTGGGGCAGCCTGGAGAGGAGAAGGCTCCTGAAGGGGAGACCTGAGAGCAGCTCCAGTGCCTGAAGGGGCTGCAGGAAAGCTGGAGAGGGGCTTGGGACAAGGGCATGTAGGGACAGGCCAAGGGGAATGGCTTTAACCTGCCAGAGGGGAGACTGAGATGAGCTCTGGGGCAGAAGCTCTTCCCTGTGAGGGTGCTGAGGCGCTGGCACAGGGTGTCCAGAGAGAAGCTGTGGCTGCCCCATCCCTGGCAGTGTTCAAGGCCAGGTTGGACACAGGGGCTTGGAGCAAGCTGCTCCAGTGGAAGGGGTCCCTGCCCGTGGAGCTGGATGAGCTTTAAGGTCCCTTCCACCCCAACCCATCCCATGACCCTGTGATTCCCAGGGGATGTGTTTCTATGTGTGCTCATGCACCCACGGAGCCGCAGACCTGCGCAGGGGCTTTTCACCGAGCCCGGCCCTAGAGCTGCCAGAGACAGGAAGGGAAATGAACTGCGCTCAAGATAGACACGTTTGTTGTTCTATATTTAGGAGTATAATAACTCAGGCTGGTTGGTTGTCCTGACGAACGTGGTCATTAATAGTCTCTGGCAGATGAGCCAATCCTTCCTACACCTGGCAACTGAGCTGTCTCTGGGAAGGGCAGGAGCCTCAGTGAAGAGCTGCTCCTGTTTGGGGAGCATCTGGCAGTGGCTTCGTCCCCTCCTCAGGCACGTGTGGCTGTGCGACGGTGCCCACGGTGAGGGTGCAGCGGGGCTGTGCGGTGGCACCCAGGGGGGCAGTGCTTGCAGGTCCCAGTGTGCAGAGGTTTGCTTGTGAGCGCTCTGGAAGCCCTGGTGGTTGGTGGCACAGGATGGCTGGCATCCAGGGAGGCATCTCGGAGCGTGGGAAGGTGGCAAGCAGCCGGGCTGAGCTTTTACCAGCCTTGGAAGGGAGGGTAAAAAGCTCATGAGAGTGGGTGGCTTCGTGCTCTTCCCACTAGATGGGGATGGAGGCATTGCAGAGCGCGCTGGAGCTCACCTCGGTGCTGCTTGCAGAGATCACCCTCGCTTGGCCTCTGTCTCTGCGTCTTCTCCAGTGGGTGCTGTGCCCATGGGGAGTCATAGCCCAGTTCTCCTCGGGGAGCTCGGTGCTGATGGGGTCTCGTTTCTCTTACAGATGCTGCAGGACTGCCCGAAGGCCCGGCGGGAGGTGGAGCTGCACTGGCGAGCATCGCAGTGCGCGCACATCGTCCGCATCATGGATGTCTACGAGAACCTCTACCAGGGGAGGAAGTGTCTGCTCATCGTCATGGAGTGGTGAGTCCCCACTGGAGCACCTGCAAGCCCTGCAGGGCTGGGGGGGTGATGCCAAAAGGGGAGGTGAGCACCTTCCTGCACTGCTGCAGGGGAGCTGTGGACCGTGGGGACACGCAGCCGGTGAGCCGTAGGGATGCAAGCCATGGAAGAGGAGCTGTGCTGCTGGTGTTGGAGGGATGACAGGAGTTGGGTTGGCTCTGAGTCATTCTGAAAACTCGCTCTGCTGTCGGGAGGCTTAGGGCCTGTGGTTCTCGCTGCAGGTGGATCATAACCAAACTTGCTTTGGCCATGGAAAGTCGGGGGAGTCAGCAGGTTCCTGGCAGCCCAGCAGCCTGCTGCAGGGTGAGGCGCAGCCAAGCCGAGCTGCTGCTTCCATTGATGCTATTGCGTCTCTCGCAGCAGCAGTCGAGCGGCTCCGATTCGGGTAGATGTTTGCTGTAACCTGGGGAGGAGGAGGAGGGATGAAGGGGAAAGTATTGAAACCACATCCCAACCGCAGCTGTGATTTGATGCAGCTTCCTTGCCAAAACCTCTCCTCTGGCAAGTGGTAGGTTGCCTGGGTGGGGGCAGTGGGTGTGAGGAGCACCGTGAGCAGTGCTGGGGCAGCCGTGAGCAGCTCTTGTGTGGGAAGAGCTTTCTGAGAACTGTGCTGGGATGCTGGGCAGGCAGGATGGGAAAGGGCTGTGCAGCGCATCGGCTTGTGTGGGGAGAGAGCAGTAGCTGAATGGTAGGAAACGCGTCCCTGGGGCAATGACAGCTCCCTGTGGTCCAAGGGATGCTCTGGGTGCAGTGCCCGTCACAAGGCAGTGTTTGACTTGCAGCATGAGCACGGTGTCTCTGTGCAGTGATTGACCCCGGTGGCTGCGTGTTATGTGTATTGCAGATGTCCAGTGAACGTCAGGGGTGCTGGCAGGAGATGCTATCAGCCCTGGGAAAGCCAGAAACCGTTCCTGCTCCCGTTAGATAAGGCAGGGGCAGGAAGTGCCGTTATCACTGTTCTCATGGAGAATTATCCCTGCTCTCACTCCTGATCTCTCTGGGAGCTGAGTTTTCCTTAGGGTACTTCAGGGAACTGTGCCAAGGTCCTGAGTTACCGGCTGGTACCAAAAACCACGCCACACTGTCCTTCTCCAGCACCTCACGTGGGCGCTAGCTGTGCTGCAGCGGGGCTCAGCCTCTGCCTCCCCATGCCACCAGTGAGCCCATCGTGGTGCCGCCGACACCAAGCCTGTGCCGTGGTCCTTGCTCAGCACTTGTGCAGGGGTTCGCGTGCCGGGAGGCGGCTGGCTCGTGAGCTGAAGGAGGCCACCGTGCCGGGAGCGCTCAGCGTGCTGCCTGCCTTTACTGTAAATGTGTTCCTGTGGTCTGGTGGCGAGACCACGTCCGCTCGCACCGGCACCTCCCCGCCAGCACCGAGCCTCGGCCCTGCTCATTTCTGGAAGGGGGAGGCTCTGAAACGCCCCGTGCCCAGAAGCAGCCACCCAAGGGTTTGGATGGGGACGGGGTTGGTTTCTTGCTGACCTTGTGCAGCTCCTGGCTGAGCGTCAGAGGTTTCGGTGCTGCTTGTGCTGGTGTGGGGCAGGCACCGCAGCATCTGACGCCTTCTGCTTCTCTTGCAGCTTGGACGGCGGGGAGCTCTTCAGCAGAATTCAGGACAGGGGAGACCAGGCCTTCACAGAACGGGGTATGGAGCCCACTGCGATCTGGAGTTTTGTCTTTGGACCGTGTCTCGATGTGTATAGGAGTGTCTCTGCTCCAGCCCGTTCCCTCAATTGCTGTTTTGAATCCCCAGCAAGGCTTTGCACGTGGGGAATGAGGAATGTGGGTGTGAGTGGCTCTGCTGTGTGTGCTCACCTGAGAGCAGGGTTAGGGGGTGTTTTCTCAGCTGCTCCTGAGCCCATCCATCCCACACCAGCACATGCAGGAGCTTCAGTGATCTCCAGGAATACCTCCCTCCCTCAAAAGATGAAGTCCAGGGGCTGTGGTTCTCATAAATCTCATCCCCCTCTGCTCTTGTGGCCAGGAAAAGTCTCTGCATGGCTGAAACCCTGAGCCTGATGCCCCTTGGCTTCCCATCCTACGGTGGTTTCCCTGCAGATTTGGGGTCCCCACCTGCAGAGCAAGCCCCTCCTTGGGGCTCATGCTGTTGGGTACAGGGGTCAGGGATGGAGTGTGCCCCATCCCTTCCCATGGGAGTTTCTCTCCCATTTGCTGCATGCTCCTGACCCAGGGGTGGGGGCTGTGGGGTGCTTTGCTTGGGGAGGTTTCCTCTGCTTCAGGTAGATGAAACCCCTTTGGCCTCAGCCAGGCTGTTTGGCCCCTGGCTTGTGGAGTGATGCTTGTTTTGCTTATAAAGGCTTCTCATGTTTGGCGTGGGGGGGGGTTCTTTTGGCTTCAGAGGCTTCAGAGATAATGAAGAGCATTGGGGAAGCCATCCAGTACCTGCACTCGATCAACATTGCGCACCGGGATGTGAAGGTACCATGCTGCATGCTCACCCAGCGGTGCTGAGCCCTGCTTGGCCTCGGGCAGTGCCCAGCCTGCTCCGGCTCTTCTGCTCACATCATCTTTCCTGTGTTTCCACAGCCAGAAAACCTCTTGTACACCTCCAAAAGGCCCAACGCTGTGCTAAAGCTCACGGACTTTGGCTTTGCTAAAGAAACCACCACGCACAACTCCTTGGCCACTCCGTGCTACACGCCGTACTACGTGGGTAAGTGGCTGCGGGGGTCTGAGCTTGTAGGTTTGCAGGGCTGGAGGAGGTTTAGATGGTGCAACGTGCGGCCCATCGCCTCTGCGTCCAGCCTGGAGCCTTCATCGCTGCGTGGTGTTGGGGGCAACTCCTATCTGGGATGCTTGGAACTGGCTGCTGCAGGGTTTGGTGCTCGCTGGTGCATGCAGCCTGCAGCTCCTGCCCCTGCTGCCTGCATGGCCGTGCTGCAGCTCCGTGGGATGCTCAGATCCCTCTCTCCCGGTGCTGCCGCTTGGGCTCAGGACTTTGTTTCTCTCTTTACCAGCCCCGGAGGTGCTGGGCCCAGAGAAGTACGACAAGTCCTGCGACATGTGGTCCCTTGGAGTCATCATGTACATTCTGTAAGTCCTGTGGGTCCTTCTCCATCCTGCCATGGTCAGGAGGAGGGATGCAGCTTCCGAGCTGGCTGCTGGGGCTGAGCCTTTCCTGGCTGTGCTGTTCCTGCTCCCAGCACTGCCCTGTGCCCCTCGGGTGCTGGCTTGGGCTGACGATGACTCTGTGCTCCCTCTCCCCGTGCAGGCTCTGCGGGTACCCCCCCTTCTACTCCAACCACGGCCTGGCCATCTCACCTGGCATGAAGAAGCGAATCCGAATGGGCCAGTACGAGTTCCCCAATCCTGAGTGGTCCGAAGTGTCGGAGGAAGGTAAACCCGGTCCCCCGGCTGAGGAGTCCCTTTGGGGTCAGCCCTGTGTCCAGCAGCGTGGGGCACCTCTTGGTGGAGCAGCAGCTTCAAGAGGCTTTTGCTGGAGGGTTTGATCAGGGGGAGCTCTGGCGTGGAGGGAATGGGAGGTGCGTGGTGGCATTTTGGGGCTGCTGGCTCAGGTTTGGAACATGGGGAAAGCCCTGCTGGGAGCTGCTAATGCACAAACCCTTCCAGTTAAGCAGCTGATCCGCAACCTGCTGAAGACGGACCCGACTCAGCGCATGACGATAACAGAGTTCATGAACCACCCCTGGATCATGGTAAGTGCGGGCTTGGTGAGGTGAGGGGATGAGGATGAGGCTGGGGGTGTGTATGGGGTAGGGATGAGGATGGGGATGGCGTGGGGATGAGGATGGAGCAGGGATGGGAGGGAATGCTTGTGGCTCCCAACTCACACTCCTCCACTCTCTCAACAGCAATCCATGCAGGTGCCCCAGACCCCACTGCACACCAGCCGTGTGCTGAAAGAGGAGAAGGATCTATGGGAGGATGTGAAGGTAAAAACCTCTCTTGCCTCTGAAACACTCTGCACCCCGGGTACCACAGGGGGACTGCCCACTTGTGCCTTCTCATTACAAACCCAGGCTCATTTGGGCCCAGTGCATCCTGGGGAGATCAGTGCTTGGGAGGGGGCTGCAATAAGTGGCAGTGGAGCATTCAGCCCCTGCTGCAGCTCAGCCCCATGGCAGGGGGATAACCTGCCCTGGGGATGCTGGAGGGCTGTGCCCATGCAGGCCTTTGCTGATGGGGCTGCCTCCTTACCCGCAGGAGGAGATGACGAGCGCCCTGGCCACCATGCGAGTGGACTACGAGCAGATCAAGATCAAGAAGATCGAAGATTCCTCCAACCCTTTGCTGATGAAGAGGCGGAAGAAAGCAAACCCCACGGAGCCTGCTGCGCTGCCCCACTGAGGGTGCCCCGCGCCCGCCCGCCCTCCACAGAGCAATAACTATATATATATATTTTTTAAGGAAAACACAAAAAAAGACTGTTCTATGAGCGCATGGAATTCAGACCTTTATACCAGACTAGTTATTTTTAGCTACTCACCTGTGTTTCTGACCTTCCTGGTAAGATTTCCCCCCCTCCCAAAATCAGATCCACACACTGCAGCCGGGGCTTTGTCCTCTAGGTGAAATCTGGCTGGTAATTGGAGTTTATCTTCTGTTGTGAAACGGTTTTGATGCTGATTTTCTTTCTGTTCCTTCCTCTCCAAAGACCTGACAGTTCCTGTGGTGACCTTTTTAGGGTATAGAACTATAAATATTTTTTAAAAACTACTGTAGAGCTGAAGGACAGCATGCTCCCTGTGTGGGTGCTGGCTAGAGATGGGCTCCAGGCTTGGGAGTGGGATGGGGAAGGAGAGCTGCCTTCTCCCTCGTCCTGCTGTGCATGGCAGGGCTGGCATGGGGGTGGAGGGTCCCCGTGGCCACCGTGCTGCTTTGCTGGCCTGGAAAACTGCTGCTTTTAAAGCAGGGTAGCCAAAAATCCCCCAGCTCCCTGACCTGGAAGCCCTGACTCCCCGCGAGTGCCGTCCGTGTCGCTGTCTGTCTGTGCTGGGGTGTGTGTCGTGGAGCTGCTCCTGGCCCCCATGTCTGTACCTGTGCCTGGAATCCAGTTCTGACCTCAGGGGTGGGCAGGGGGGGGTGAGCAGGAGGCGAGTGCCCCACAAACATCACCCCCTTGCTCCGCAGGGATGTGGGGAAACGATGCTTCCCGGCCACATCTGCCTGCTCCCGCATCCCCCAGCCCCGGGGAGATGCTGCCCTGGGATAAGTGGGTGGCTTGGCGAGGTGGCGGAGGCAATGCGGGGCCATAGCTTGAGCTGGGGCAGCAGCAGTGCCCCATCCCTGGCTGGGGCTGGGGTCCTGCTGCCCCTCTTGCTGTGGCTCCATCCCTGCCACCGGCTCCCCAGGGCTTTGGGAGCGATGCTGTGCTCCCGGGAGCAGGATGGCTGCTCGGGAGTCTCTAATCCATGAATTATTCTTATTATGATTATTATTTGTCACGATGTTTCACTGCGTTAAATGTGTTTGAATGGGGAAAAACCAAAAACCAAACTTTTTTTAAGGCAATGATTTAGTTTTTAGGTGATCTTTTAGACACTGTGCGGATTTTGAATTTGCTTTAAAAACTGGGGTTTATCCTTTTTTTTCCTTTTTTCTTTTTTTTTAATTTTATTTTTGTCTGTTGGCTATACTAATCTTCCCAGTCTGCTCTTCAGCCCTTTGGATTAAAGACACTTAATGCGTCACCCGGTCTCTCCTCCTTGCTTGTGTGGCTGTGAAGGAGCACCCCGGTGCTGCAGGCTGGTGGTTGCTCTCCTTGATGGCTCGAAGTTGCTTTTTACCTCCCAAGAGGTAAAAGAGCGCTTGGGTCTTTTCACCCAACCCAAGGGGCTGAGCTCCATAAGGTTTTCTCTGGGGATGCAGCACTTTGGTCCTTGCACAATCCCTTTGCTTGGGGATGGTCGGTTGAGATGTGCCCGTGTCTGTAGTTTCCTCCCTACCTGGGCTGGTTTGGGGGATGTGGGATGCAGGATGTGACCGTGGCCATGGGTGCTGCACCCGGGTGCCGGCAGGGGGAAGTGTGCATCCGGCTGTGGGTGCTGGGTGCAGGGGACTGGTCCCTGCTGTCGCCTCTGTGCTGGCAGCCCCGTGGTGCTGCACTGGGGTTTTGGGTGCTGGTACCAGTGCTGGCCATGTGTGCTTGAGCCCAGAACCCCCCGTGTGCTGGGTGCACCCCCAGAGCGTGAGCAGCAGCTCAGGGAGGGGATCCTGCCCCTCTGCTGCACTGTGGGGAGACCCCCCCTGCAGTCCTGGTCCAGCTCTGGGGCAGCAGCACAAGAGGGACGTGGAGCTGCTGGAGAGAGGCCAGAGGAGGCCATGGAGATGCTGCGAGGGCTGGAGCAGCTCTGCTCTGGAGCCAGGCTGAGAGAGCTGGGCTGGGGCAGCCTGGAGAAGAGAAGGCTCCTGAAGGGGAGACCTTAAAAGATGAGGGGCCTGGCAGTGTCCAAGTTGGATGGGGCTTGGACATTGGCCATCTCTGGCAAACGGCTTGTTCCTGTCAGGAGGAAATGTTTGGGTTGTCTTAGGAAAGCCTAACCCTAGGCAGCATCTCCTTATGGTGCTTTGGATGTATGTGCAGAGCATGGTGGTGTGCTGTCCTTGTGCAGGGTTAGAAGAGCTCAGGTTAGTGTAAGCTTGCTCATGCAATTGGTGGGACATGGGTTGCAGTGGTGGCCCTTTGGGATCCCTCACCCTGAGCATTGTGCATCCCAAAGAAATCTGTCTGGAATTGTGTGCGGTGATTCTCAAGGTGTAAATGGCACTGAGCTGCATGAGGGCTGTAAACCAGGCTGTCACCTCCCCTCTGAGAATCCCAGCCTGGTTTGTGTTGGAAGGGACCCCAAAGCTCCTCCAGCTCCACCCCCTGCCACGGGCAGGGACCCCTTCCACTGGAGCAGCTTGCTCCAAGCCCCTGTGTCCAACCTGGCCTTGAGCACTGCCAGGGATGGGGCAGCCACAGCTTCTCTGGGCACCCTGTGCCAGTGCCTCAGCACCCTCACAGGGAAAGAGCTTCTGCCTAAGAGCTCATCTCAGTCTCCCCTCGGGCAGGTTAAAGCCATTCCCCTTGGCCTGTCCCTACATCCCTTGTAAAAGTCTCTCCAGATCCCTTACTGGGGGATGCTGCTGTGCAGCTGGGCAGGAAGAAACGAAGTCAAACCCCACAAAGGTGCTGCGAGATGCGAGCCGGAGACGCGCAAGAAGAGGAGCTTCAGTGAGCTCCTCCAGTCCCCCTTGCGAAAGCCGAGCAAGGAGGAGTCACTCACGTCCGCAGCTGCCAAGTTCCAGAGCAGTGAGCTAATACCTGAAAGGCTCCCAGTAAACGGTGCCTCTGCACGATGCTCTTCGCTCTACCCGTGTGGAAACGTGGACGGAGCAAAGCCGCAGCGCTGGGAGGTGTGAAGCACAGCCTGGTTTCCCAGGGGCTCAGCCCACAGGTGCCCTTCAGCCTCACGGGCTTCAGTGTTTTGGGGAAGAAAAGGGGTTTCTAAACAAGCACTAAGCCCCTGAGCTTGTCCTGGGGGGGCGAGGTTCTGGTTATCTTTGTTACCAAGAGCCTGCTTGGAGCTAGCAGTGCTTAATGACACAAATCTCAGCTCCAGTGGGAAGATCTGTTGCCTGCAATGCGTTGTATCTGTGTCTGGGGAGGGAAGAGCAGAACAGAACAGAGCGGGTGCTGATGGCCACTGAGCTGCCTGGGATGGGAGATTGCTCCCAGGGTTGCTGCAACCCCCCCATTTTGGCATTGGGATTGAAGCTGGCAGCAGAGAACAGGTCTGCCGTGGGTGTCCCAGCTCCGGGAATTGAAGGGGTGGATGTGGTGTGACCCCTTTCCACCCACCACATCTCCTTCCCAGCCTCTCTGGGGGGCTGTGTCCTCGCTGCGGCACACCAGACTCTTTCTTTCTGTCACTGCTTTCACAGTGTCTGATGGGTGGGTAAAAACAGAGTTCTGTTTTCTGTAAAGCTGTTGATGCTACAGGGAATGAGCTGGGCCCGTGTGGGTGTTGGGTGAGAACAGACACTCGTGCAGGGCAATGTTTTGTTGCTTCAGGTTTGAAAGCAAAGTCTTTATAGAGCCCTAGAATGAAGTAGGTGGGAAAAGAACAGATTTGTTCACAAAGAAAGAGACAGGAGACAGATTTGTTCACAAATTTTGCTCGCAAAAAGACAGATTTTGTCACAAAGTGCTGTCAGTAACCAGGCTGAAGAGCAGAGGAGAGCTGGGGGAGAGCTCCGTGCTGTTGGCTCACAGGTAAGTATGAGGAAAAGCAGCGTGGAGGAATCCAGTTTTGTGTGAGGGAGATGACACTGATGCTACACATGGTACTTGGAAAACCACTCAAAGGGGAGCTGGGCTGTATCATCTTTGGTGTAAGGGTAGAAGTCTTTTTGCACGTGAGGGATGGTGGCCCACATTTGCAAGCTCTGCCTGCTGCGGTGGCACTGGAGGATGGAAATCTGGAGACGGGGCAGGGGCAGCACGGGGATGCTCAGGGCATGGGACCAGTGAAGCAGGGTTGGATTTATGAGCACCCAGTGCACTCCAACACGAGTGTGTGTGCCCCCTGAAGCTGGGCTTTGGAGGCTGTGTTTTATAGAGGTAGACACAGAAGATGCCTGGGCACAAGCAAAATGACAAAAGCAGGATGCAGCTTCCTTCCTGAGGTTCGCTGCCATCTAGGGCTTCCTCTGAGCTTCATTTAAGGTCTTCTTGGAGCCTTCAGGACTTGTTCTCTTACACATTTGGGTTATGACCTGGATGCCTCTTTCCTTGTTGTGCCCTGTGCTGTGTGGAACCTCTGACTGCCCTTGCTCTTGTGATGCTGGTGCTGGGCTGGCTTCATTTTAACCACTTCCTAAGAGCTGCCAGGGCTTGGGGAGCCTTTGGGCAGGTTCTTCATCTCCACGCCTCGTGTTGGAGCACACTGAGACAGCTGACTGGGAGGGCTGCCCATCGCTTCCAGGGCCCCCAGCTTGCAGGTATCCGCCTGCATCCCGTGCTGCTGTCGACAATGAAGGGATGTGGTTTGTGCCAACAGTTCTGTCTCATCTTGGCGCTGAAGCTGCGGAATTCAACCTGAATTTCCATGTAAGGTAACCTCTGAGCATCCTCATCCTCCACGTAATCCATGTACCTGTGTGTTTTGACGCAGCCGCCCAACACCACGCAGAATCAAGGGGCTGTACGTGTGACCTGCTGACTGCGAAGGAAGATGTGAAAGATTCACCACAACTTCTTTAATTTTTAGCACTTAGTAGGAAAATAAACCCCTTCTGCCCACCCCACCTGCTTATTTTTAGCAGCAAACTTCCTGCTAAGGAAAAAACCCTCTATTTCTCACTAGCAAGAGGATTGGTTTTTCATCTAAAGTCTGGCTCTGCTCCAGGTAGAGCATCACTGTCTGCTGCTACCTGAGAGATGAATCACGGGCATCTCCATTTCCTTGCCTGCCAATGCAAGAAGTGGCTGCTGCTCTTGCAAGGGCGGTGTTGAGGAGCCACATCTCCCCTCCTCGAGATGTGGTTTGCTGCCCTTTCGCAGTGTTGGTCAACCCTGGACAACCCCAGGAGGACAAAGTGTCCTCAGGGCCCATGGGGATGAGCGGGACAGGAAGGCGCGTTGTGCAATTGGGTGCGAAGCCGTTGCTGTTTTACTGATGCCCTCTGGTTTTCTAATGACAGGGATTAGGATTGGGAGCAGATGTTTTTGG